GAGGGAGGAGGCGGAGGGGACGGAAATGGTGGTGGAGGAGACCTCCGGGCTAAGGCCGGAAGGAGCGAGGGAGCCACGAGCTAGTCCTGAGACTTGACACCCTCCCTGGCATCTTGCATCTCTGGGCGCCCGGGCCTCGCCCCGCCAGCTCTGCAGATTCCTAAGTGCCCAGGAAGATAATGACCAGGCTCTGCAACCAGGAAACTGGGGGGTCCCAGACATACCGCTGAGATCCAGCTGGGGGGCTTCTCCCAGGGAGGCAGCTGGCCTGGGCAAGGGGCTCCCTTCTGCCCTGGGAGGTGGGAAACCAGGATCTGGGCCCACGGCTGACCGCGGAAGGAGCGACGGCGTGGCCAGGGTGGTACCTCCTCAGACCTTGGCATGGGAAGGATGGTACTGGGGGACCAGAGCCAAATACAAAACCCAGGCTGGAGGAAAGCCACCTCAGGGAGGGGAGGTGGTCCCAGCAAAGAAGAAATACCGGTGACACCCAAACTCCTGGAGGGAACGAGTCCTCGTGGCCTCTTCTCCTCTTTGCCCTCGATGGAGATTCCCCCAGACAGGAAGGGACAAGAAGCTCCCACTGCTGGGAAAGGCCGAGGTTGCAGGCAGAGGCAGAGAAAAGATGAGAGAATCCTAGCGGCCCACGCTGCACCCAGCCACTGACCTGGGCTTTCCTGGGTGTTGATTCGAGGACCCCCAGAGAGAGAGGGGCAGCAGGGCTGGAAGGAACCTCGGAATTCCCTGCTCCTCCAGCTGTGGCGCCCATGCAGGAAGGGAGGGGCCTCTGCAGGGAAGGGCTGCACCCCGGATGCATGGGACCACAGCCCCTCCTCTCCTTGGACGCCCTGCAGCCTGGCACTGGGGCTGATGCCGTGGGGGGCACCCGCCAGCAGGGTGATGTTTTTCATCCCAGGTGTTTGGAGGTACTGGCAGGTAGGAGGGCTGGGGAGGTGGGTGGGGCTGGCCAGATGAATGCAGCCCGAAAGGGACCGAGTGTTTGCCCAACTTTACTGGCTTTTAAAAAATAAAGAGTAAAGCCCTGGCCAGTGTGGCTCAGTTGGTTGGAGCGTTGTCCCTTATGCCAGAAGGTGGTGGGTTCAATTCGCAGTCAAGGTACATACCTAGGTTTTGGGTTCAATCCCCAGTCAGGGCACGTGCAGGAGGCAACTGACTGATGGATGTTTTTCTCTCTCTCTTCCTCTCTCTCTAAAATAAATAAATATATATATAAATAAAAAGTAAAAATAAAAGTCCCAGAAACCTCCCCATGGCTCTCGTGCTTCTGTGAACCTGGCTATGAAGTCCCAGGCATGCTAGCTGGGAGGGGCCCTCCCTGAGGACAGGCCTCCGCTCCCAGGGGGAATATCAGTGCTCTGGGAGTCCTGAAGCTTTACATGACATTGGTCAACTTGAAATCTCATGGGGATATGCCAGGTACTGTCATAGGTGCTGAGAAACCTGAGAAGAGTTTATTGGGGTCCCTGACCTCCAGGAATTCATAGCCTAGTGGGGGAAATTATCTGTTTGGGGAACTAGGTACCCACGGAAAACAGAATGGGGGAGGAAATAAAAGTGCTAACATTAATTGAACACCTACTAATTTCTCCCATGATTATCCCACTTGACCCCACAAGAAACCTAGGAAGTAGGAAAGAAATTACGTCCTGTGCTCCCAGCAGCCGTCGAGTCCTGCTCTGACAGGCAGCCTAGTAGGCTCCATCCAACAGACAGGCACGGCTCCTGCCACATCCCACCGCCCTCACATTTGTGCCTTCCAGTGTTAGGACCTGGCGCATGTCCCCAGCAGGATGGGGGGAGGTAGGAAATGGCAGCATCACACAGGTGCAGAATGGCTACATCCTGGTCCAGCAAGCCATCCCCAGCATTTCCCTGATACTTCCATGTGCCTGGATTCTGCACATTAAGTCACCCCCCTGGCCCCTAAAACCATTTGGGTGTGTATGTCCTGCTAAAGCCTTGGTATTCCACCACATGGACCAGCAGCTCCAGCAGCAGTGGCCTCACCTGGGAACTTGTTAGAAATGCAGACACTCAGGCCCCATCTGAGACCCCTGGAATCAGAAGCTGCATTTTAGCAAGAGGCCCAGCAGGTTGTATGCACACAGCGGTGTGAGAAGATCGAGTCGGTATGACTGTGTGAATGTGTCCGGATAACACTCTCCTTCTCAGAGCACAGAGCCTGGCCCAAGTCAGGTGTTCAGTAAAATATTCCCAGACAGTTATAAATGAGTGTAAGTAGATTCCTTGCATTTGTGGGACCTGATGGTGAGGGCAAAAAAGTCTCTGAGGACAAGAAAATAGCTGCCACAGGGCACACACACACTGCTTTCCCAGGCAAAGCCGATGCTGCCTCAGGTACAAGACTAGATTCAGAGAGGCCCAGAGCCAAGGCACAGGGAAGCAACTGTTAACAGCACGCAGCAAGAGGCACTTCAGAAGCACAGTTGTCTGTGGGCATTCGGTAGCAGGACTGAAAACCCAGCTTAGGTCAGAGATCTTCGAGGACAACACTGTGGTTCATGTTTATAACAATGCCCCAGAACCTTCAGAAATATTAAACTGTATCCTTTGCCTTCTGTGTAAGATGGCCAGAAGAGCATATTTCAGAAGGATTTTCACTGGGAAACTATTTTGCTTGGAACAATCCATGCCTGATGACACTCAGATAAACAGCATAGTGCTAAATCAAAAATCTGCTGCTCGGATTGGTGGACCACATCATTTCAGCTTGGTCAGGGACTGGGTTGGGAGTTTATGGAGAAACCTGCAGGGGAAAGGATTTCCATCGTTCGGGAGGCAGAGGTCATGGGAACGAGGCTAAGGTAGTTCCTATGGTCACCTTGTCCCCAGGGCCCAGAGCTCTAACAGGATCCACCTGGTTCAGGTTAGGATGCCAAGGAAGACTCTGGCACTTTCTTAAAAAGGGACTCCCAAATATTCTATGCTCACCCACTCATTTGTTTTCCAATAGCTATGTACAATTTAAGAGCCCCATTTTCCAGATGAAGAAGCTGAGGCAGAGAAATTAACAGATGTACCCCAGGTTCAGGGATAGTCATTAGTGATTCTGCTCAATTTCACAGTCCATGCTCTGTCCTCTCACCACACTGCTATGCAGTGACCATATCTACCATTGCTCCTGCTGTTACTTCCTGCTAATGTTCCAGGGACTTGACTTAGCTCATTTAATTTTCAAAAACCCCCACACAAAATAAGCACTATTATTATACCCATATTATAGCCAAGGACAGTGTGACACAGAGAAGCTAAGTAACTTGCCTTAGGCCACACAGTTTAACCCCAGTCCAACTGACTGGAGCTTCCACTCTTTTTTTTTAAAATTGATTTTAGAGAGAGGAAGAGAGAGAGAAACATCAATGTGAGAGATACACGTTGATTGGTTGCCCCCCGCACGTGCCCTGACTGGGGCTGGGGATCGAGCCTGCAACTGAAGTGCGTGCCCTTGGCTGAAACTGAATCCAGGACCCTTCAGTCCTTGGGAGAACGCTCTAACTACTGAGCCACACCAGCCAGGGCTGGAGCTTCCACTCTTAACCACCATAAAAGAGGAAATAGAAAAGGGGCATATGAAGCACGTCTGGGGCCGTAGCCGGTTTGGCTCAGTGGTTAGAATGTCGGCCTGTGGACTGAAGGGTCCTGGGTTCAATTCCAGCCACGGGCATGTACCTCGGTTGCAGACTCAATCCCCGGCCCCGGTCAGGGAGCATGCGGGAGCAACCAATAGATGTGTCTCTCACATCAGTGTTTCTCTCCCTCTCTCTCTCTTCCAGTCTCTCTGAAAAGCAATAGAAAAAATATCCTGGGGTGAGGATTAAAAAAATAAATAAAATAAAAATGAAGTAAGTCTGGGCTGTGAACTGTTTAAAAAGAA